AAAGACCTCATGGTTTCTGGAATCCCATAAAAGCAAAGTTGTAATGACTTCTGTGACCCTCGTTTTTCCTCCCCTGAAACTATCATTAGACATTAAGTTGACAAACCTCTATCACCCTAGCAGGTTTTTAACAGACCCTTATGGTATCCAGTCCCTTGCTGTCTTATCTCATTTCATTAATTACATTTCATGATCACTGAGGGTCAGGAGGTGGAGGAAGAACCAGCATCCAATTTCAGGGAGCAGCGGCAATCTCAGATACGGGCAAGCAAGATGATGCTAAAAAAAAATCAATTCAGCAGTCAGCTGTGACACACAAATGGCTCCCAGTAATAGGGTGAGGATGAGCCAAATACAGATGCAGGTACGGAATGAAACATTTTGATCCCTCCATGTGCGGCAGTGCACTGGGATAGCTGCAGTGATTGTGGTGTAGCTTGCTATGGGTGGGGAGAAGTCTCTGGGGAATCACAGCCAAACATGGAGACTCTAGGTAGTTTGGGACTAAAATGCATGGACTGTTGCTTCTCAAAGTTGGTTTGTCAAGTGCTATAAGGCTTAGGTGAAGTAAAAAAAAGGGACTCCCTTGGGGATGCTTGCAAAGAAGAGTAAGACCTCATTTATCTGGCAGCTTCAATTGTCCAGAGAACACAAATGAGATAAGTGAGCATAAGAGCCTCTGAACATGATGAAATAAACACCATGTCTCAAGGTTCATTGTTATTGGGAACAACATACCTCACAAAAAAGACTTTTCACACTTGCTTTAGGATCAAAGCTAATCAATTTGGTTATTTGATTTCCTGGTGTGGTAGTTAAGTTTCAAAAAAGGAGTCTATTTCGTCAACCCTTGAATCTAGTCCAGCTTAGTGACTTGTTTTAGCCAATAAAAGGCAACAGAAGTGACAGAATGCCAGTTCTAATCTGCAAGAGTTTTGCATACTTCTGTTCTCTCTCTTGGAATCCCACTATCCCCATGTGGAAAAGGTCAAACTAGCCTGCTGGAGGGTGAGAGACCATGTTAAGGAGCGCTCAACTGTCCCAGCTGAGGCCATCCTAAACCAGCAGAAGCCAAACATGTGAGAGAGCTCAGCCAAGAGCAGCAGAGCTGCCTAGCCAACCCATAGCCACATAGAGAAACATGGCTGAGACCAGTGGAGCCAGGTGGCACACAGATATGTGAGCAATAGTGAAAGCCTATTTTTTAAGCCACTGAGTTTTGGGGTGTTTTGTTACTCAGCAACAGCTAACTGATACACATGGTCTGCTACAGATTGGAAAGCAGGGGTTGGGTAGCGAGGGGGAAGGGCCAGTAGAGACAAGCAGACAAACAGAAAACTAAAAGGGAGAAACAGGAATTCAAAGAATATTATCATCTGGGGCCATTTAGGGACGGAGAAGCAGTTTGTGGCACCTTATAAGATCCTGACCATCGAGAGTTTTAAAGCATAATAGAAGACTACTGACTCTGAGTCATCTAGAAAAATTAACTGAAATGTAGTGTCCTTTTGTTAGGAAGGCAGGTGGATGAACCATATTTAAGAAAGACTGTCATTAAAAAATAGTTAAAATAAAAAGCTCAGGGTGTTAAGTGTCATTTATCTGAGACACTCATGTGTGTGTGCAGGGACAATACATTCTGCAACAAAAATTGGGTAACAGCTCAGAAAGCCTTTGTGTTGCTTCCAGGTGCAAAAGGCAGCCTAGGAAATGTAGTTTGGTTGCCATGATGCTGGCATTTTGGGGACACTTAAGCACGCAGGAAGACAATGGACAGAATATTTGGAATTGGGACGATCTGAGAAATTCTGTGCAGAAGAGCACGTCTTTTCTCCTCCAAAGCCCCAGATTAGTGACGGCATGTGAGGCAGTGGAAGGAGACATGCAATGTAAGGTCAGCCTTAGGCAGACTGCAGAGATCTCTGTGTGGGAGACTGAGGGGAGACAGAGGGTGCAGAAAAGAATTGCATTAGCCGCCTCCCTCCTTGGCCTGCCCTTTTTTGCTCCTTTAAGTACCATATATCCAGTTCATTCCGTCTCACACACTTGAATTCTGCTCTCTTCCAAAGCACAGTTAAGTGTCATGCTGGAAAATAATAATTATTCACATTCCTAGTACAGACTGAGTCCAAGGACTGGACCCTGCTTTTGCCATGCATGAACTCATTAACCCTATAATTTAAATACAACTACTATCTCCCCTCTAAAGAGGTGAAAACAGGCACTGACAGAAGAAGCCACTGGTTTCATCAGTTAGAAAATAGGAAATGGCAGGGGCAGGATTCAAACCTCGATGGTGGGTTCCAGACCCATCCCCTAAACTATCTGTTCTGCCCCTTTAGTTTGCAAAGTTCCCTTTTTCCCTCCCTGATGGTCTGAATGCACCCTTTAGTCCAACCCTGACTGTAGACATCCCAGAGCCCAGAATCGCTGACCCCAACCCTCCTGCCTCTCCCCACTATTAGTTCTCACAGAACTGAGTGAAAAACAATGAAGTCCTTTCCTGGGGGATGTGGTTCTGATGAATTGCCACTTATCACCTGGAGCAGGCCCAGGGAAGCCAGATCGGGATGGGGATGTATGTGTCCACCTGAGAGAGCTCAGCCTGATCTCTGGCAGCTTCTCACTAGCTGCCAGCACCTCCTCCCTGGCCCCATCCTCACAGAGTCACTGACAGGCCCAGCTCCCAGCTGCTTTATCTCCAGCTAACACGCATCTCCTTTCCCTCCTCCTCCTTATCTGGGGGTTTCCTTGCGGCTCTAATGAAAAATCCTCGTGTCACATTGAAAAGTTGCCAGTTATTGCTGCTGGGAATAAAATCCAGCCTCTGCCGGGCAGAGACTCATGAAAGCTTCTAGCTGGGCACTGAGGAGTAGCCAGTTGGAATAATCCTTCAATATGAGCAGCCTCTCAAGCGTAATTAGGTGGTACCAGGTGGGGCCCCTCCCTGACAGCAAGGAAACAAACAATAGGATGGGCCGGGTTCCCTGCCGCCACCTTGGTTTCTTCCATTCCTTGGCCTCCCGGCACACCTGCCCTGGAGTCTGCCTACCTCATGCTGATGGGTTCAGGCTCTTTCTCTGCATCCCAAAGATACAACAAATTGTATGTGAGCTCTCAGGTCAGCCTGAGTAGCAGGCAATGGCTTCACTGGATCCTGAAAGACCAGATCAGTCCACTTGATGATTATCCAAAATGTGAATTTCTTGGCTCTACCCTGGAACCACTGAATCTGAATCCCTAGGGCTGAGGCTTGAGACTTTCCATTTTTTAACCCCCTCCCTCACCTGGATTATGGTTCTTAGAACCACTGGACCTGAGCAAATAGATCCAAAGAAAGATGCTCCCATATATATGCTCTTCTAAACTGCAAACCCTAAAGAGCCCTTCCACCTTTCAAAGCCAGATATGAGCATTGCTAGCACACCGACCCTCAAAGTATACTAGGACAGCCATTTCTGTCCCTAGTTCACAGAGAAAGAAGCTTGTGGTTCCTCACAGGCCATGGATGACACCAAGAGAGTTGAGACCATGCTGCTGTTTCACTCACAGCCACCTTTCTGGGGCAAAGGAACCACAGTGAGCCCTAAAAAGCATTTTCAAAGCCTGGTACTCTGGCCAGAAGCCACACATGATGAGAGAGGAGGTATGAGGTGATTCTGCAGCATACACAGCTAGCTGAAACGGCAACTCCAGAGTGATCACTACCTGACTGTAAGCTGAGCTCCAGCCACGGCAACTTTCCAGAACATTTGCATAGAAAAAGCAGGAATATCAGTGATTCTCAATGGGAGTGACTTTCACCCCACCGGGGGACATTTGGCAATGTCTGGAGACATTTTTGATTCTCACAATTGTGGTAGGGGGACTACTGGCCTCTAATGGGGAGAGGTCAGGAATGCTGCTAAATATCCTATAATTCATAGGACATTAAGAACACAACAAAGAATTATCTGGCTCAGAATGTCACTAGCACCATGATTGAGAAACCCTGGAATAAAGATGTGAGCCCAAGTTCAGGGGTGTCCTTAGCCCCTGAAGGTAGGGTATTCAGTCAGACTCTTTGTTTGGGGTTGGAGTTTTTATACCTTCCATTTGTTGTAATTTATCTAGAAAAAAGATGTGAATCAACCCAGGGGCCAGCAGAGAAAGGCTTATAGGCTTACAGGGAGCTCACACTGCCAGCCCCCTGTAGGAGCTGGGCTTAAAAGACTCAGTTTATCTGACATCCCATAAATACCAAGACCCAACTTAAGCTCTTGATTCCTTCAGCAATTGGTCATTGCTTTAACAGTAGCATATGGACGAATAAATGTTCACTACTGAGCTGCCTGGTTAGATTTATTCCATATAGATTCCCCATGTGGTCTCCCGTCTTCACGGAAGAGTTAAAAAAACAGACCATTTAGTTGATAAAATTGAGTCTCCCATGAGTTAACGGAGTGGAACCAGCTACTGGTGCAGACTAAAGCACACACATCGCTGTGGAAGCCAGGCTGGAGGGGCCAAATATTTTCTTTACAGTTGATTCGATGCAGTTCAGTGGTTGATGGCGTGTGGAGGCGGAACTCTTCCTGATGATCCAGTCCCCTCCTGTCTATGCGGCCAGCACCTCAAAGGACACGCATAGTTTCTTTTCCCCTATAAAGTGAATCTGGGCATTTTATAGTTGAAAAGGGAGCAATTTCCATTTGAATTAATCACGAGGCTGAAGGCAAAGGTGCATTATGTAGCTTTAAAGGACATTCTTCCTTGACTGACAAGGTCCCGTGGCCACCCCCTGTAAAGCCTTAGCAATGGAACATTTCTTGACATCACTCAAGGGAGGTCTGTTATCTTAGTTATACTCACATGGAGCCTGTGGGTTTTTTTGCACCCCAGTCTAAGGAATAACTGCAGTCTCACTCTTGGCGTTGAACACATTTGTTAACCATAACCCTGTAACATTTCTTCCCTGTTAAATTAGAAGAAAGCAGTAATATTATTGAAGGAAAACATACCTTTCAGCCACTTTGGACATTTTCAAACAATGTCTGTCGATCTGTGTGTTCAAAAATGTTATCTGGGAAAATAGAGAACATGGACATTAAGACCAAACTACAATTATTTTTGCCTCTCACTCCACAAACCCAAATCCTGCATTTCCACCAAGATCCAAATAGCTCCTCTGGCCAGACATCTCCAACTCCCTCAGCTCTGCCCTCCAGCAACTTACTTGTGCCTCTGGACATCCCTATCATACAAGATTCACATTCTACAATTTAGCCTGTGTCTCCTCTCCTCCTCCACTGTGGTGTGATTTAAGTCTTGCTTTCCAAAACTTAAAGGCAATATATATTCTACAAAACTTAACAACGGCACAGACAGGTGAAATGTGCACCATAAATACCTGTTTTGAATAATCCCCAGTGACCCCTCCTCTGCCCACCTTTCACATGCACGTCACGCCCGTGTCCTTGGCATGCTTGACTGGAATCATCAAAGAGCTTTTTTTCCGTTTTTTTTTGTTTTGTTTTGTTTTTTGTTTTTTGTTTTTGAGATAGTCTCATTCTGTTGCCCAGGCTGGAGTGCAGTGGCATGATCTCGGCTCACTGCAACCTCTGCCTCCCAGGTTCAAGCGATTCTCCTGTCTTGGCCTCCTGAGTAGCTGGGACTACAGTCACAAGCCACCATGCCCGGCTAACTTTTTTGTATTTTTAGTAGAGATGGGGTTTCATCATATTGGTCAGCCTGGTCTCGAACTCCTTACCTCAGATGATCCACCTGCCTCGGCCTCACAAAGTGCTGGGATTACAGGCATGAGCCACTGAGCCTGGCCAAATAGCTTTTTTTCATAAATCCATTACCTCTTACCCTCAGATAATAAATCTGTCAAGGGCAAGCACCTAAAAGTTTTCTCCTTTGGGTTTTGCCCTCTAGAAACCAGCAAGACATAATATAAACAGTAGGTTGCTTTGTTACCAGTAAATATCAGAAGGAAGTAATACAATTAGCCATTGTCTGTTGACCTGGGCTCCTCAACATGAAAGAAAATAACATTCAACCAAGTAATGCTGAAAAGGCATTGGGAGTAGGGCTTTATTTATTCTTAAGCTTTCCTTTCAAATCACGGCAATAAAGTACATCATCCTGAGCTGGTTTAGTCTGGAAGTGCATTCCAATTATAAGGACTGTGTGACATAAGCCCCCTCCTTCCTCCAGCTCCCACAGCGGACTGTGGGAAACCCCACTACAGCAGTTACCCCAAGGCACGGGATGACTCATTTACACCCTTTTCTAATAACTGCTGGAGGAACTGGGTAGACAATTCTCTCTCAAGCTTCCGTGGCTCGCTCACACACAGCACTTAAAGGTTCAATCACCCACAGCTGGGTTCCACTGTGGTTTCCAGGAACTCAAAGCTTGCTCAATCTTCAGAGGTGAACATTTGAAAGGGTTTTTAAACTGGCCCCGTCTCCTCCTGGGAATGCGAGCCGTCAATTCATTCACCTGTTTCCGGATGTCCTCTTTTGTTGTTTTCCTGATTGGTTGGCTGAGTACATGCACTGGGCTCTGTGCCTGGGACTCTTCAGTCACGCCATACACGGACTAGGAGAAGAAGCAAGCACAGAGTGTCATCCACCTGCAGAGTCGGAGGGTGGCTTAGGGGTCAGCTAGTTCAATGACTCATCCAATTTCCTGAATCCCCTCATGACAATACGAGATTGGTCTCTGCTTTTATTTCTTCAATGATGAGAATGCTGCCTCTTAAGGCATGCCATCTCATCTTTGGGGTACCACTATAACCCAAATCCTGCCTTTTACTGGGCTGAAAATAGCCTCCTTGTATCTCAGTGTTTCTCCAGATATGATTCATAGACCATCTACAAAGAATCACCCGGGTGTGCTTGGAAAAGACATGTTGCTGAGTATCCCCTCACCCCCTGGACTTACTGCATCAGAATCTTTCTGGGTGGGTTTGGAAATCTGCATTTTTATCAAATGCCCCAAAAGATTCTGAATAAAGAAAGTTCAAGAACCACTGCCAAAGAGTATGCACAAAAGATCCCCTCTACATTTCTGTTGGTCAGCAGATGCCCATCTGGTACAAAACTGGGGTGGCAGCCTTTCAGGGTTTCCCGTTCAAGTTAAACACTTTTCTGGCCTCAGTTTCTCCACATGTCTGTAGCTATAGCTACGTTTAAAGCTGTTCCTGGTATTATGGACAGACTAAACACAATCTTCACAATGGGAAAGAAACGAAACCCTGAAGGGCAAGCAATGTGTAGTCAAAATCATCAAAATGAAAAAGGGCTCAGATAAGGTGGATGAGACTCCATGAACTTCTGTAATGTTAGAATTATGGGGCTCTTGAAGATGAAATGAGGACATTTTAGGAATAACATTTTAAAATATAATACAGTGGGTATTATTATCTCAGTGAAGAACAAAATATGTAAGTAGATTAAAGAAGTTTGTATACATATGCCATGTCTAGTGTGTGTGTGTGTTTTTTTTGATACATACATGAAAGAGAGCTAATTGATCATCACAAGAAATATAAATGCTTGGGGATGCATCTCCATTCTTTGGATTTTTTTTTTTGTTTTTTGAGACGGAGTCTCGCTCCTGTCGCCCAGGCTGGAGTGCAATGGCACGACCTTGGCTCACCGCAACCTCTGCCTCCTGGGTTCAAGTGATTCTTCTGCCTCAGCCTCCCAAGAAGCTGGAATTACAGGTATGCACCACCGTGTCCAGCTAATTTTGTATTTTTAGTAGAGACGGGGTTTCTCTATTCTTTCTTGGTCAAGCTGGTCTTGAACTCCCAACCTCAGGTGATCCACCCGCCTCAGCCTCCCAAAGTGTTGGGATAACAGGTGTGAGCCAATGCACCCGGCCCACTCTTTGGAAATTAATATTATGGAGTCTGGTCATGCTCTCCTGCAATATTGTCCCTGGTGCTGTAGAGAGGGTGGGATGTACAAATTGTGGGGGAGTCTGATCATGGTACCCTCAGATATGCTGTGGCCACTACTCCTTTCAGTAAAGTGAAACACAAGAGACCACTGGGTCATTCACAGTTGGGCAAGATGGTGGTTTGAGTTTGGGTGATCCAGCTCTATCAAAAAATAAAATAAAATAAAATAAAATAAAATAAAATAAAATAAAATAAAACATAAAAGAGACTTTCATTTGCTTCTAAGTACAAAGCTTGCTTTCACCTGTGAGCTTTGCCACTTCTTGTTCCTTTTGTTTCCTGCCTTCCCTGCCACCTCCCCAGAGACAACTAGAACTTAACCCTTCAGAACAGCTGACCCTCTTTCAGGAAGTCCTTGGGAAGCCCCTTACCCCCGTCCCATCCAGGTCTGGCTTAGCTGCCCCTCCTGGGCTCCTCAACTGTCTTGTACATCTCCTAACACAGCATTCATGGCCCTGTTGCCTGTTGGCTTGTTTTACTCCCTGCCATGCTTTGGGCTCCGTGAGGACCTGCCACTGTATCCTAGCACCAGCACAGCACCAAGCATGCATCAGCTGCTCAATCAATATTTGTGAAATGGTTACAGTTTCAAAAGACAAAAGGTGGCGGAATTACAAGTAGCAAATTACTATTTGAATAGTACTAGAACTGGAAGGGCTATTTACATCAGGAATTTTTAACTCAGCTAAACTAGCGAACCTTTTTAACCTTTTGTGGATTCTTCAAACGTCGACATTTTCGGATGTCCATTTCTGTTGTGTTCACACAGCCTGGCTGAGAAAAAAAACCACACACACATCATATAAATTACTATGTGAAAATTACACTTCCAATTTAGCCCGTGTCACACCAACAGGATCAATCTTTATCTTTTTCCATTACAGACAATGCATGATTTTTTTCCATTTTGCCATAATATGTGTTCCTCTGTGGAGTTCTCATACGATCTAGAAAAGCTTACCTCATAATCTAAGGATGATATGTAGAGGGTATAGTGCACAGTTTTTAAGAGCAAATTAGCTATTCAAGTGGCAAGATTGCATCAGGTACAGCCCTTAAAAAATTTTTTTTTAACATACTTAACCATTTGAAAAAGACTCCATGATATCAGGATGAGTAGTTATTTATTTATTTTTTGCTTTTAATTAAATTTTAAGAAGACCAACAGATTATTCTTTTTAGTTCCATTTCCATAAGGAAAATGCAAGATTTGTTTTAATAACATGAAATCAGAAATACAGTCAAACCTCATTATTTACACATTTTTGCATTTGTGAATTTGCCTACTTCCTCAATTTCTTTTATAACCCCCTCATCAGTAGTTGCACCTTGAGTAGACTGATGTGCGTGTTTCCCACTGAAATTGAACAAGGTGATGTCCTGCCTTTTTGTTTCAGGCCCGTCTATTTAGGGCTAATTTAGTGGCAACTTTTCTGCATTTTTGTGCTTTTTGTTGGTGATTTTGCTGTTTAAGATGGCCCCAAGGACAGTGCTGAAGTGCTGTCCACCGTTCCCAAGCAAGAGTCTAATGTGCCTTAGGAGGAAATAAACGTGTTAGCGAAGCTTTGTGCAGCCATGAACAATAGTGCTGTTGTCCATGAGTTTAATGTTAATGCATCAATGATATATATTACGTAAGGTGTCTTTACACAGAAACACATTTAAAAGGTTATGTATTGATCAGCTGATAAAAATGTTGTGGCCACAGGCTCACAGGGACCTAGCTTGGTAGTTCCCATGGGAGTGATGCTTCAATGTGCGCTAGTTCAGTGTTTGCAAAGACTTTATAGAACATAGCTGCCATGGATAACAAGAATTAACTGTATTCGACAGAGAATAGTTTAAGATTTAGAGTTGAATAGCAGTGGAAATGGAAATTGTTAATTTGGGGAATGTAAACCTTTGGGACCCAAAGGTCTTTTGGTGGAATTCCCATAGCTTCTCTTTTTGCAATTCCATATTTTCATGAATGAATAATTTTTTAAAAGGTGGGACTTACATATATTCCAAGAAATTTACTGAGATTATATAAATGAATGGCAAAACCAGTTCCACAAAGCTCAGCGATTTTCTTAAGAATGAGACACCTGGTGGCTAAAGATGGTTTTTTCCCTATAGAGATAAAAATGAAAAATTAAGAAAAAAATCTAGAGAACTGAGTAGAGCTTTCTCACCACAGGCCTGTGGACATCCCAAAAGGCTCGTTCTTGACTATCCAAAATTTTCCTTTCTGTCTTGTCCTTTTTCCGGTCAATCCTGAAACAGTAAAGAGAGGAAGGAAATAAGAGGCTCTGTATTCTGTTTTCCCTGCTGACACTTGCTCCAGCATTTGCTCCTGTTTCTAGGAGCTAAGTGAACACAAGACCATTGGTACCCACATGGTGCCTGCTCTCTGCAGAGCTGTGAAATAGGGGTGTATAATTCCCCTCCCTGAAAACCCCCGAAATTCCACACATGGTAAGAGAACTTGTTTTAGGCTAGATTACAGATTGCCATATATGTGTAATGAACATGGTGGCCTAAGGGAAGAATAAGAATGCAGCTGTTCATCTGAAGTATTAAGATTTGGATTATTAAAAACCGAATTATCCATTGATATGCCCCCTCATCAAAAAGGATACTGCATATACAAATTATAAGATGGAATATAACCACCGTCTCACCAGTGTTCCATGTTCAAATTTGAAAGTTTGCTTTAGATTTAGAATCAGTAGAAAGAAATGTCTTTAAAATGCTGCAATTAAGTGTTTTATAAGTCACTTACACCATCTGGCTTTCTAAAGGCAGAATAATGGCCCTCGCATGAGACAAGATCCAGGAGGCAAATATCCCTGCCTCAGCTGGGGGAGGCACAAATTGCAAGAGGGAGATTGCAGGTGACAAAGACTTATTGTTCTGATCTGCAGCATAGATAAGAGGTTTTTTCTTTTTCTTTCTTCTTCTTCTTTTTTTTTTTTTTTTTAAAAGCATGTATTACTTCATTTTATTTCTTCAAGTAAAAAGCAACTCAGATTAATTGCCGTGTAACTCCTGGTTCTCGGCTCTCTTGGGAACCCTTTAGTTTACCGGACTGAAATAAACCCATAATCACCCTGTGATTTTTGTGATAATTACTGTGTACTTAGGTGGCCCACAATTATAATGTAATCACAGAGTTAATCAAAAAAGTTAATCGAGAAATAGCATATATTTATGAAGTAACAATTTCCCCTCTGTTTATAACTTGTGATGCTGTTTGATTCTGGAAGAATTAGCATTCCTCTTTGCTTTCCAGTGGCTTCTGAGTACACAGGCGCAATTCCGCCTTACTTCAGTTGAATCTCAGCCTCCATCTCACCTACTCTCCCACCTTCACCTCTTCGGGGGCACCCAATGCCTGGTACCCACCTACCCCGGGGGCTGCTGGGTGGTCAGGAGGTGGCTGGCATCATGGACAGGAGAAAGGCAGAGACTGCTGGGGGAGGGTCACAACAATGGCAGTGTACAGGCCACTACACCAGATGGCCTCAGGTCACTTCCAACTGTGACCATAGCTGTGATGAGTCTACACCCACACAGCCTGAGACCCGGCTCCAGGCCATGGGCTGCAACACCACTCTGGAATGTGAGAGTGTTGCTCTGAAGACTCAGCGGCTGCTCACATGCAAGTGGTACCCAGAGGAAACATAGTCCTAGTCTCCCAGCTCAGCATCCCTTTCCTGCTCCTGTCCTACTTCTCCTGTTAACCATCCTGGCTAACCTAGACATCACCCCTGGGAAGGACAGGGGAGATCCAGATCCAATCATTCTGTTTCCCAGAATTAAATGGATCTGGTTGACAACCATGTTTGTGGGGTAGGGAACGCAGAGTACCCATTCCTCATGTTTCCTTAGAGAGGAAGAAATGTCCAGTATGTATCCAGGAGAAAAAATTCTGGGAAAAACCCTTCCGACTATTTTCTTCCTTTCATCTCTTGTCCTTTGGGGAGGAAAAATGACTCAACTAATTGGTAGACTTGAAAGAAGAAACTGAGAAAGTTCAGACTCTCCCTCTCTGGGCCCCCATCTGGGTCAGCCTGTGCTCAGGATAGCTGCTTTCTGCATGCAGAAAACTTACAGGGGTCACCTCTGCCCTGGTGGGGTGGGGTGGGGTGGAGACGCTGGGGAGAGGAGGCCTATAGATACACACCTCTGTCCAGGAAGGGCAGGTTTAATTTGCACCTGTGGCCACATATCCAATGTCATGCCTTATAATCTTGTTTTTTTTGTTTTTGTTTTATTTTGTTTCGAGATGGAGTTTTGCTTTTATTGCCCAGACTGGAATGCAATGGCATAATCTCAGCTCACCGCAACCTCTACCTCCCGGGTTCAAGCAATTCTCCTGTCTCAGCCTCCTGAGTAGCTGGGATTACAGGGATGTACCACCATGCCTAGCTAATTTTGTGTTTTTAGTTGAGACAGGGTTTCACCATGTTGGTCAGGCTGGTCTCCATCTCCTGACCTCAGGTGATCTGCCTGCCTTAGCTTCCCAGAGTGCTGGGATTACAGGCATAAGCCACTGTGCCCGGCCTTACTCTTGTTTTTTAATTAATGTAATAATCTGATATTTTGGACTCCAACTGTCTGACTTCTGTGCCTTAGTTTTCTATTGGTTCCAACTCCTCCCCTGTCAGGGAGAAGAAGATACGGGCTACTTGTTGTTCTTCCTGAAACTCCAACCTGTTTTCCTATGAAGACAAAATCTCCAGTCCAACAGGTAAAACGGGCTTTCAGCCTTTGAGCACAGAAAATAACTGGAAATCTCTCGGGGAAATAGATACACCTTCTTATAACCAGAGTTCTACCTTTGGAAGGATCTCCCTTGTCGGCGGAAACACACATTTCTGAAATTGTTTTACAGTAGCGTTGGTTATGAAGGTGAAACTTATCCATCCTGACCTTAATTTCTACTCAGTTGCCCTCATGCCAGACTAGAAATACTAACGCCATCTGGAAACTTCACTTTGACAATCCCACCTTCACACCATTTCCAAATTCCAGAGTCTTTTCCTCTCTGAAATGGTCTCTATTAAGTTCACCTACTTTACTTGTGCTTCTGCTTGCATAAAGATGAATTCCCACTTCCTTGCAAAGGCCCTCTGGAGTCTTGCTAAGTTTTCCTAATGAGAAATGAAAATCAACAAGAAGGCATTAATCATCGTAAATTAGCACATCGACACCTATGCTTATTATAAGGCAGCCATCCATTCTGGTTACTTCCAACAGAATAGCAAGACCTGCTTTAAATCCCCTGGACATGTATCCAATTTGACTTTGCACCAGACCCTGATGTACAGAGCTGAACTATTAATATTCATTTACACACCCATTAAGTCTGAGGTCTCTGTGGTTCACCTGATTCCTCTCTTCTTATGTGTTTTACAAGAATGCAACTCACACAGCACTTGTTTCAAAGGTTGCTGAAAATAGGGAAAATTGTCTGTGGCTACTGGGGAATTAACAACGAGTCTTTGCCACCTGTTGGTATCTCTAGGCACAAAACCAAGGCTGGATTTCTCAGGACTGGTCACAGGAAAGGAGAACCAAGGGGACCCGACTTTCATGCTTTTTCTAATGTCAGGATTCAAAAGTGGCTGAGGCTGGGTGCAGTGGCTCACACCTGTAATCCCAGCACTTTGGAAGGCCGAAGCAGGTGGATCACCTGAGGTCAGGAGTTCGAGACCAGCCTGGTCAACGTTGAAGGTGAAACCCCGTCTCTACTAAAATTACAAAAATTAGCTCGGCGTAGTGGCAGGTGCCTGTAATCCCAGCTACTTGGGAGACTGAGAGAGGAGAATCGTTTGAACCTGGGAGGCGGGGAGGTTGCAGTGAGCCGAGATCCGGCCACTGCACTGCAGCCTGGGCAACAAGAGTGAAACTCCGTCTAAAAGAAAAAAGTGGCCCAAAGAGAGTGTCTATGTTTGTGATGTTCATGAAAGAAAAAGCCAAAAACAGAAAGAAAAGTCATTGAGGGTTGGCATTAGAGAAAAATAAAAGTATTTTCTCTAAGTCTGTAGAGTTACCTAATAGAACAAGAGGATGGGCGGTGAGGAGGGGAGTTTGACAGGCACCCTAATGATCCTCCTAATTCTGATGAATGCAAGGCTGGAGCCCATATTATGCTATGTATTTTCATAAAGCTCATGCCAACACTAATTGATTACCCTCATTAATGGATTATTAATATAAAAGGAGCTTCAGTTGGAGAGTACCACACATGAGCTCACAGTTATTACCTAGGCTTGGTGCACAAGTAGTTCTAAAAAACTGTCTTTTTGACTCTTCCACTGCTCACAGGAAGCAAAATTGGTAGTGCCTCAATGTCAATCAACTGTGACACAGTCGTAGTATAGAATTCTAGGCAGCCATTAAACACAGTAATGTAGATTATAGTTACTGACATGGTAAGGACCCCGAGATACCTACAGTATAATGACTGGGGAAAGAGAAGCAGCTGCCACAATAATGTTTATGGTATGATTCTAATATAGTTTTGTAAAGAAAAAAATGTATGCATAGAAAAAACTTAGGTGGGGGGAAGTCACGGGTTATATTCTCTCCTTTCTTTGCTGTTTGAATTTTTGTTTTTATAAAAAGAATATGTAATTAGAAAATTTATAAAAAAATTATTGCATTCTGGAAGCAAAATGTTTTGGTTTTGAATCATTTTTGTGCAGAACTTCAACCTGAGAGCACATCTCAATGCCATATTCCTTGCTTTTTTTTTTTTTTTTTTTTTGAGATGGAGTCTTGCTCTGTTGCCCAGGCTGCAGTGCAGTGGCGTGATCTTGGCTCACAACCTCCGCCTCCCAGGTTCCAGGGATTCTCCTGCCTCAGCCTCCTGAGTAGCTGGGACTACAGGCATGTGCCGCCACGCCTGGCTAATTTTTGGTTTTTTTAGTAGAGACGGGTTTCAGCATGTTAGCCAGGATGGTCTTGATCTCCTGACCTCGTGATCTGCCCACCTTGGGGATTATAGGCATGAGCCACCACACCTGGCCTCAATGCCATATTCTTTACAAATACCACAGCAGAACATTAAGGGACAAGATAAGAGAAATTGAATCAAATACAGCAGGAGTTGATGCTGTCTGATTTCTGTATGGGACCTGTCTCTAAAACATTGAAAATATGGGGAAGAGACACACGGGAGGGAGGGGCCCCAGGCTTCTACAGTCTGGGCTTTCCTCGAGGTTGTATTAAGGAAGTAACGTCATCATGTCAAAGCTACTTGCACTGGGTGCACAAAGAGTACAACAGCAGTCTTTTGAAGGAGGGTGATGTGTCTGCTGGACATTGGGGCAGACAAGGGCACAACCAGGCTCCCAGCATGTCCAGAGCCACAGAACAAACAGGCCAAGGTTTATCTGGGGAGATTATAATGTTCCAACATATGATCATCTGATAATGCAAACTCTATCCAGGTCCTGAGGCTCTGGACAAACTGCTGCACTGCTTCTTCCTCTTCTGCCCCCTGCACCGCATTCACAGGTCCACAATGCCAGTGGGATCAAAGAGGTGAAGGGCCACGCACAGGTCCTGCTCCCCAATGGCATGTACATTCATACTTGGGCTGCAGAGAGGGGAGCGATGGCCCAGCTGGCTTGGTAGGCTTGGGAACATGAACCAAGGAGAGGTAAGACCTGGCAGAGTGGGGCCTCACACTCGTTTTGAAAGACTGAGGCAGTAAAAGCAGGAGGGGTTTTGGAGGTGGGTGGGTCTGAAGATGCTGTTAATGCTGGACTATGCAGGGAAGGATTCTCTGCTGCCCTTAATGTTGCCCCTCCTCCCACAGCTGCTGGCCCTTCAGTCATTCACGGCTCAGCAGCACATCCTTCGGAAGACGTACAGGGAGAGGGAAGTGGAAGGTACAAGAAAGTTCAGGCAATTTCTCCCATTCTCTGTGACCCACAGAAAGTTCAGTTTTGGGGGAAAATTTTGCAACCAAAAGTTTTAAAAAAATGTAAATGTTCTATGAGTTTTCAAGTGCTTTGGTTTCTGGGCTCTGTCAAATGGGAACGGACCCAAGTTTGATAGTGGGGCCTCTAATTTTTGCAAGAAGTCCCATCTTATGAAGGACGATAGAGGGGGAAAGTAAGAAAGCTGGGAAGTAGATACCTCATGTGACATACATCTTGTCTTACTTTCTCAATTGAATTTTACCCTTAGATTCTGCCTCTGTTACTAAGCAGAGGAGAGTGGGTATAAAGATGCAATTTAAAATTTTGATTTAAAATATTATTATGTAGTAAATTTGACTTTTTTCCTTCTGTAGAATTCTGTAAATGTTAGCACATGTATAGATTCATACAACCACCACCACAATCAGGATGCAGAACAGTTCCATCACCTTCCAAAAATCCCCTACCCCATCTATAACCCCTAGCAATCATTGATCTGCTTTTCATCATGATAGTTTTATCTTTTCAAGAATGTCCTATAAATGGAATGACTGGCTTGAGATTGGTTTCTTTCACCCAACATAATGTCCTTGGTACTCATTCAAGTGGTTGTGTGTATCAATAGTTCATTCTTTTTTACTGCAGAGTAGTATTCTATTGTATGGATGTACCACAGTTAGCTTAACCATTCAACTGTTAAAGTGCATTTGGGTTGTTTTCAGTTTTTGGTTATCACAGATTAAGCTTGTGTGAACATTAGTTTATAGGTGTTTGTGTGAACATGAGTTCTGATTTCTCTAGGATATGTATATAGAAGTGGGATTACTTGGTTATATGCTAAGTGTTTGTTCAACTTTATAAGAAGCTGCCAAACAATTTTCTAGAGTGGCTGTACCATTTTGCATTACCACTAGCAATGCAGGAGAGTTACAGTTGTTCGACATCCTCACCATCACTTGGTATCATCAGTATTTTTTATTTTGGCCATTCTAATAGGTATGTAATGGTATCTCACCATGGATTTAATCTGCATTTCCTAAATGGCTAATAATATTGAACATCTTTTAATGGGCTTATTTATCATCCTTGTGTCCTCTTTGGTAAAATATCTGTTAAGTCATTTGCCTATTTTTAAATTGAGCTGCTTATATTTTTATTGTTGAATTTTAAGAGTTATTTATGTAAAAATACAATCTTATTGTGATGGTCAGAGGAGGTGAGAACAAAGGAAGAGAAATAGATCCTTCCTTTCCACTGTCTGAAAGGGATGAAAGGGGGACAGAAGAAAAAAAATAAGCTTAGATGGAGCTACATATATGATTTTACTCTCTTCTCATATCCTGGAAAATAATCATACTTACTGCTTCGTAATCTGCCAGTTCCAGCCTCGCTTTATTCTGCATTGTCCTCTTACAGAGATAGATGGCTGAGGGAAGAAAAGAAATGACAACATGTACAAAACCAGCAGCACAATGGAATTATAAGCCCATCCATCCATCTATCCATCCATTCACCCATTCATCCATCCATCCAGCCAGCCATCCCGCCCGCCCACCCTTGCTGTGTGCCCAGCACTGCCCTGGGAAAAATATGTTTTCTAAGTGGACATCATGACCCCTGACCTCTAGAAATCTTTTTGTAGTCATGATCAGATGAGGACTCCTCCATATTCCAATCCTGAAAACTCCCCTTCTTCCTCCTTACTCTGCTTCACCCTGAACATTCTTCACTTGGAGTGATATTTCACAAACATGACCACATTACTCCTGTGCCTAAAAGCTTTGCCTTGAATCCTCAATGGCCTCAGAAATAAGGCTGGGTTCATTAGGGTGGCAAATATGGTTCTTTATGATCCGCTCAGTGCTTATCTCATCAACTTCTTCTCCCTCATGCAGGCACTGGGAGGCCACCAAACTCTTTTAGATTCATTCCTTTGTATATGCGTCCTTTTTGTGGAAGGTCTTTCTCTCTTCTCTCCTTCCCTCTGTCTATCTGGCAACCTCCTACTAATCTTTGAAGACCCAGGTTGGTGTTTCAGATAGCATCTACACATCCTCGACCATGGAACTAAATTCCATTGCACTGAAATCCTGTATTTACTAGACTGTCCCCTGCTCTAGGCTGAAGTCTCTTTAAGGGCAGAGGCTATGTCCTGCTCAGCTTTCATCCCTGTCCCTAGCACCAGAGCCTGTCTTGCCAGGTACAGTAAAAAGGCTATGGGAAGGGAAGACAATTTAGGTTTCTCAACCCAGGCTAAGGAAAGGTTTTTGGCCCGTGGTTTCCCTGTTTCTTCCTCAAACGTGGCCTTCATCATCACTTCTCCCTACCTTTCCTTCTTCAATGTCTTCCTCCTTCTCCAGAGCCAAGTGGAACAATCCAGGGAAACCAGTAGATGAATGGCATAAATAAATGAACAACAGAATGATCAAGAGGGAGTGCCAGAGAGAACCTGTGATCATTTTGTTGTTGGACAACAAGATCTCTTTACTAAGAGATCTCTAGTCAACTCTTTGCTGGATCAACCTACTTCATTCATTTGTTCTGAAAAATTTACTGATACCTATGACATTTTGGAGCCTGGAAGCTGGCAGCCTACCCTCTGGCATGCCCACACTTCTGGCAAATTGTGTGCTCATAAGAGTCAGTTGTGGTTGTTCCCAAATCTGCTTATGTCAGGCACATCTGTTATTTTAATCACACAAGTTCACTAAATATTACATGTGTCAATGAAACTAATGTGCAAAGAGAGAGAGTGTTGCTTCTATGAAAACTCAGTTGAATGATCTGGAACAATTTAATGAAGGACAGTCAGCTAAGACAGTCGCTGGTGAATTTGATACAGGTGAGATAACTGGAAAAAGGAAGAAAAATAATAAAAATCTAGGAGGGGCCAATGTACAAAAGACTACAAAAATGTCTTTACATTCTTGCTGCACTTTAAAGACACCAAAACAGGGTAGTTTATTTTGAGTGTGGTTGATTTAAGAAACTAAAATCATTCAGCTCATAATCAAAGAGGACACTGTGGTCCTACCTCACAAGGCTGTCAGATGAGTGTTCCTTTGTATATCTTACCCTTCCATGAGGTGCTTTAAGGTGTACATATGTCATTTTAAAAATGATTTTCTACTTACCAACTTTTCCAATGAACGAAGCAGCTATAGTGCTTCACTGGGTCTGATAAAGGGGTGTCTGATCTATCACAAAGTACCTCCTTCAGTCTCTTGGAGTCCTGGCAGAATTAGGGACAACCTCAGGCAGGAAGCTTGACATGTCACCAGCCCCACTGGGCCAGGTCTTGATTACCTTTGAGCAGTGCAGGTCACTGGAGGTGGCAGCTGCTTTGACAATGCTGCCCTGGACAGTATTTTGCATTTGCCGAATGTAAAACTCAGAAAAGGCTAACCCGGATTTGACTATGGGTTTTATGCAGGCAGAGTCATCCCAAGAAATGTCCAAAGGGGACAGCTGGGTCAAAATGGGGCAGGGGGGTTGTGAAGTGAGGTATTATACATGGAATGCAGAGCTGGGGTCACTCCTGATGGCCATGAGTCACAGGGTCACACGCTACTAGCTAATGTCCCTGTGCCTAAAGTCACACAAGAAATCTTTTCACCACAACAAGGAAGGTGGGATGTGACTGTTCTTGGCACAGAACTCCCTGGGGCTTGTCTGCATCCCAGAGTGCCTTCACCAGGGCTTGCTCTAACTTCCAACCAACTCTAGTGACTACTGGTGACAACAGTCAGCCCTACAAGAGGGCATCTGGAGGAACTGTCTTAAGCTCAGATACTGGTTTCTCTTGGATATTTAATTTCTTACCAAAAAATTTATATTTCCTTGTCCTTACATCTGGCATTGCACCCTTACCTATATCTCATATCTCACTTAGACAAATCCACTGCCATCTCAAGTTCACCATGTGCCACCAAAGTGGAACATATTTAAAAATTGTATAAAGGGAACAGATTCATGTATTATATGTGCTATTGAATTTCTTAAAAAAAATTGAGCTTATCGAATTTCAATGTACTGAAGAAACTGACCCCTTTCTGTACTTTCTGCCTTTACTAGCAACATCATTATGTACCTCAATCTCCTAAACTAGGGAACCTATAACTCACTTATTTCTCTATTTTCTTCATACTCTCTGATGACTTTTTAGAATTACAGCATTTTAGCACTGGAGGTAACCTTGGCAACCATGAAGTACAGGCCCCTCATTTACAGATGGGGAAACTAGAGGCCCAGAGAAGTGAAGTGATGGACTCAAGGGCTAGTTAGTGATGGAGATGGAATTAGAATTGAAGCCCAGTGCAGAGTTTTCTCTATGATATTCACCAATCCATTTACTCAATCACTCATTCAGAAATGTACTGAGTGTCTCCTATGGGCCAAGTATTGTTTTAGGTGCTGGAAAAATCACCATTGTAGCAGCTACTGCTTCCATTGAGCCCACTGAATATCGGGGACTATTTGACTAAGTCACAGCCCTTACTTCATCCTCCACAGTCCACTCACTTGATCCCCCACAGTCCCCTTGCTTGATCCCCCACAGTACAATGGTGATTTTTCAATCTCCGACATAGAATTTGACAGAGTGGGGACCAGTAAATGGTTGTTGATTGAATGAAAGTGTCTGGTACTTCATCAGTCTAAATCATACTATATTGAATTCTTAGCTTCAGTTTCACATGCTTCCTGGTGAGAGGGTCACCATTGTAGCAGCTTGATCCCCCACAGTCCACTCGCTTGATCCCCCACAGTCCCCTTGCTTGATCCCCCACAGTCTGCTTGCTTGATCCCCCACAGTCCGCTTACTTTATCCTCATAACAAATCTACGAGGTGCGTTCTGTAATTACCCCCATCTTATAGATGAACCAATTTCTTCCCAAGTTGGGAAAAAACTTGGGAAAGTGTGTTCATTGTTGGGGACCCACAATAGCTTCCCCAAACTGCTGACTCCATTCTAAACATCTCTCCTTGACGGCCAGGGCCTTTTTATAAACCCGCCCCTCCCAAGCTATTCAGCCTTCTCAATCATTCGTCACATAAAACCTCTGAATACTCAGGCCAGATCCGCACCATGCCTTTCTTCCCTGCATCATGCTGCTTCTCCCAGCCTCGGATCCTTGCAGGGAAAGGCTGTGACTTATTCAAATCTCTGACATAGAATTTGACAGAGTGGGGACCAGTAAATATTTGTCGATTGAATGAAAGTGTCCAGTACTTCATCAGTCTAAATCATACTATATTGAATTCTTAGCTTCAGTTTCACATGCTTCCTGGTGAGAGGTTCACCTCAGTCATAATAACATCAACCAGCATCCCAGTGGCAATAATACTAACCTCACCCCAGTAGTGATACCAACTACCACCCCGTATTAACTCAGAGAACCTTATATGCATTTCATTTAATCCTAACAAAACAACACTAGGAGACAACTGCTGTTACTACTCTAATCTTAATATGAGGTCTCTGAGGCACAGAGAGGTTAAGTAATTTGCCAAGATCACCCAGCTAGCGGAACTGGTTGATCCTGGGGGCTCACTGTGCTGGATTCTCTCTTGGTAAATACATCCTGATTTTGTAACTAAACTGCTTTGGAAACCCTGGGGAGTACTGGTTTTTCTTTGTTTTGGAGACAGGGTCTTCCTCTGTCACCCAGGCTGGAGTGCAGTGGCACAATCATGGCTCACTGCAGCCTTGAACTCCTGGGCTCAAGTGATCCTCCCATCTCAGCCTCCCGAGTCCCTGGGATTACAGGTATGTACCACCATGCCTGGCCCCTGGTGAACACTTCTGCATCCTGAACCTTGATTTCTCCCTCTGATTTGCCATAATTGAGGCACAGGAATTTAAAATAATTTTTCTTTAGTGAGAGCCTGAAACAAACTGTCATTTCTCTCCCTGTTCATGATGCACAATTAAAATTATGAAATGAAGAACACCTGTAGACACAGGGCGCTGATGCCCTTTAGTACTCAGCATAAGATGGCCTAAGCTTTGTGGAAGAAAATATTTTAATCTTACTTGGGCCCAGGTATCTGGTCTGACCATCCTCCCACCCTCTCCACTGCCTGGAAAAATAGTGGTTTTCACATTTACAAGGGCACACGTTGCTGCATGGAACTGAGCTATAATTACTCAAATTCCAAGCTGGGCTTTCATGAGCAGTCTTTTCAGCCTCAGAAGCACTAGTTTCATGAGCAGTCAAATGCAGCTCTCGCTTGCAGCCGGAAGCCTTCCTGGATCCACTTATCACATTGGTCAGGGTGCAGCACAGTGTCAGAGGGCCCACGGTGGTGCCTGTGGATAGCCAAGCAGACAGCCCCAGGGCCTGCCCTTCTGCATGACTGATGTCCTCCACACTTGGCCATGGAACAACTCCAGCCTTAGTAGGTAACAGCTCACTGGTATTTCATCCTCAGGTTGGCTCCCTGTTGTCAGTTTCCTCTTGCTTGAACATGTGACTCCAAGGTTGTATCTTATCCCAGTGGTCTCCCAGATAGGCTCCCCTGATCACCACCTAGCTGCACATCTCCCTCCCGCTCATCACAGCTGCATCTGCCTTCCTGTCTTAAACAATTCTGCAAAGAAGCTGCAGGACTCATTGAGTGTCCCAGTCCCCAGGAGAGCCACAGACCAGACTGCCACAGCAGCTGAGTCAGCAGCAATGATGCATGCAAAGGGGCAGTGCTGCTGCTACAACCTTCAGGCATGTCACGTACAGGACTGTGAAAGAAGCATGGGTTTTGGAGCCACTCAGATCTGAGTTCGAGTTCTGCTCCCTCTAGTGAGTGTCTGTTGATCACCTTCAATAAAGAACCAGAACTGTCAGTGGATATTTACTGAGCACTAACTCTGCCTCAGACATGGGCTATGCACTGGAGATATGAGAATGCACAAGCTGGACCAGCCTCTGCCCTTGAGGCTTACAATCAAGGGAGCATTCAGACAATGTGGTAGTGTGAGGGTGTGGCCTCTCTGGGCCTCAGGTTCTTTCTCTTAAGCATAGTGATAATATAACTTCTGCAGAGAACTGGCATATAGGAATATTAAATAATCTCCATTGAGAGTATGTGGCAGAAGAAGTCTTGTAGGTTCCCGTCTGGAGAGAGAGAACTCCCAACTTCACTCACTCTTTATTTTCCTAGTCCAGGATGACTTCTGTATACCTGTCTCTGGTCTCTCTCCTTTTTCTACATTGCAACTATCAAGAACACCAAAAGGTTCTTAGTAAGTTTTGACAAGTCTGTGAGAACAGAAAGGGCCAGGAAGAGGTAGCCCCTTGATCCAGCCCTCCCTGAAGCCCTATCCCTGGAAAGAACAATTAAAAGTCACCATCCCATAGTGTTGCTGTGGATCCTGGTTCTCCATGGCCCCAAGATGAACATACTGACCACCCTTGATAAGATTTTTCTTCCCTCTCCTGCTTCCCCTCCAAGGACTACACCTTTCAGTGAGCTGGGCCTTCCTCTGTTATGTGGAATAGAAAATTTGTTATAAAGCAACAATATGAGAAAGCACTAAGCAGAAAGGACCCTCCTGCCCATGTACCACAGTTGCCCACACCAAGCATTTGTCTTCTGCACACCCAGAAGTGACACACAGTGTGGGCTGTGGCTTCAGTTCTCACCATAGTCAGTGTTTTCAGGTTCCCAGCAGTTCGAAGGCCAGAAGTATGGAGCCTGCAAAGGAGCATGGGTGTCAGGGCTCATAGGTGTGCCATGCCTGCACTTCCCTCCCACATCCAGGGAGGAGCCTCCCTGATGGCAGGCTCTCCCCCAACTCCTTCCTGCTGATGCTTCCCCACAATGCTCTCCTCTTCTCTAATGCAGCTGAGGTGAGTCATTGACAAATAAAATGTAAGGTAAGCAAAACAAATGCAAAACAAATGCAAAAATGAGAAGTTTTGTTTACAGGGAAATATATTCTCATCCTGAGACAATAGAGGTCTAAGTACAAAAGTCAGGCTGGCATAACTTACTGGGCACCTAAGCCCATGTTCCTTTTCTCCCTTTAACCTAGTCTGAAGAACTCTTCTCCTAAACCCTTTGGTTAGACCTTGACTCAAGCCCGTATCCTCTGCCCTCATTAACCTCTAGGGAAGGATCTGGGAGAAGGAATGTAAAATGGGTGGGGAGGGTGATTAGGTAGCAAATAGAAACTTCACTCTGGAGAAGGCAGCATGAGACAGTAGAAAGATCAAGGTCTGTGCTATCAGGCTCACTTAGGTTCAAATTAAGGCTGCTCCTGGATTTACTAAATGACACTTTAATTCTGTGAGCACTTCAGTTTTCTTATCTGTAAAATGGGTGATATATACCCCCTAAAGTGTGCTTTTCAGAATAAATGAGGAAATCTGTACAAAGTGTCTACGATGGTCTGAATGTCTGCGTCCCCCTCAAATTCACATGTCGAAATCCTAATCCCCAAGGTGATGGTATTGGGAGGTGGGGCCTTTGAAGCCCTCACAGATGAGATTAGTGCCCTTATAAAAGAGGCCTGATATAAGCTCCAGGTCCTGTCTGCCCTGTGGGGATGCAGCTAGAAGGTACCTTCTATGAGCCAGACAGCAGGCCCTCACCAGACACCAAATCTGCCGGCACCTTGGTCTCGGACTTGCCAACCTCCAGAACCATGATTAGTAAAATTTTTTTGTTTATAAGATACCCAGTTTATGGTATTTTGTTGTAGCAGCCCAAAGGGACTAAGGCCCAGGGCATGGTAGGCTCTCAATGACAGCCTTTTACTATTCTCTAAGTGGGTCACCCAATGGTCCAGACGAAAGTTCTCTTGGCTTTCCCAGTGCTGATGAGGAGTGAGGGTTACTCCCTCAAATATCTCTAGGTTTCTTTGTAGTTCTAAGCTGAGATCAGAAGATGTTGAGAAGAAAAGGTTCTTCAGGAGGAGGAGCCAGCAGGCTTACCTGGAAACGATAAAAGGTACCATCATCCTTCATGGTGAGAACATGGTCCGAGATTGGAAAGATGTAGCCCTGGGCAGCGATAAGGCTTCCCAAGTGTATTGCTTCAACTGTAAGAACAGTGCATAGAGAGAGAAGGAATTAGGAAGCAGGTTATTTGGCTGAAAATTAAGCTGGGAGATCAGAAGTCAACTGTCATCACCCCCAGATGACTGTGTTGATGACATGATTACCCTTGCTCAGTGTGGGGGTGAGGAGGGGAGATGCCAATGGCTGGAAAGGGCCACTGTGTGTCTGGTACTTGTATGAATCCCACCTCCAAGAGTCTGACATTGCTTCACTTCTCTCCACCCTGACCTTCAGAAGAAAGTCTGGCTTCAGGGTCAAGGGCATAAATTCTGGCATAGATGAACCTGTATTTAACCAAGTGAGATATTTCACTTGAAGTTATTAGCAGTGTCTGGTACAGGTCAAATACTCCATAAGTGCTGGCAGCTCTGATTCATATCAGTTTCATCATCCCCAGCAGTAAGAATGCAGCCTCACTACCCATAGAGACATAGGACTCCCACTGCGTTCCCCAGTATGACAGTCCCATCAGGGATGAGAGGGGTGTTACCCTTCTCTTATGGACAGAGAGGAAAACCTCACTTCCTTTGAAAATTAGAGGAGGGACACTGAAGTGGGCAGTGACAGAGAGAGGCCAACCTGATAGAAATACTTATATTTTTGCCACAATCAATCTGTTCCTTTGTTCCTTTAGCATCAGCCATAAATAGATGCACATAGGAAGTTGAGAATATAGGTGGGGCATGGTAGCTCAGGCCTGTAATCCCAGCACTCTGGGAAGCCGAGGTAGGCGGACTGCTTGAGTTTAGGAGTTTGAGAACAGCCTGAGCAACATAGCAAGACCCTGTCTCAATTAAGAAATTTTTTAAAAAAAGGTTAAGAATTTAGATTTATCCTGAGCAGAGCTAAGAAAAAATAACAAACCTCAATGCTTCTACCACAAAAAGTAATCTTTCACAAATCCAAAAGTACTGTTACAGGTTAAGACTAATTTTTGGACATGGAAATTGTTAATGTGCTCAGGGAGTCTCTAGCAATTATTAATTTCATGAGCTCTGACTTTTTAAAGTAGTTTGCTTTGGCTTTACTTGCAAATTTTTCAAGAAGTTGAATACAATGCAATGTTTTGCTTATTAAGAACCACCTATTCTCCTTTGAAAGAAACATACATGTAACTGGTGGAATTAGAATGAATGGAGTTTTATTTTACTTACTTAGTGATGACAAATTTGCTATTATTATTATTATTTTTTTCAGAGACAGGTCTCACTCTGTCACCAAGGCTGGAGTGCAGTGGCACAATCACAGCTCATCGCAGCCTTGAACTCCTGGGTTCAAGTGATACTTCTGCCCCAGCCTCCCAGGTAGCTGGAACCACAGGCACATGCCACCACATCTGTCTAATTTCTTTTATTTTTACATTTTTTTTGTAGAGGTAGGGTCTTGCCATCTTGCTCAGGCTGGTCTTGAACTCCTGGGCTCAAGGAAGCCTCCCAGCTCAGCCCCCCAAAGAGCTGGGATTACAGGCATGAGCTACCATGTCTGGCCAGTTTGCTTTTTAAAGTCTATAAGCTTCAAGAACCATGAGTCCAGCTAGAACAGAAGTTTCATCAGCAGCAGCTGCTCCTTCCCCATAGGAGAAAGAACAAAATCCTGTAGGAAGGTGACTTTCATGCCACCAGTCTTGGAGCTAAGACTCTACCTTCATTCTCTGAGCAAAAATGTTTTTGCTTAGACATTGGCAATGGGGCCAGGTGCGGTGTCTCACACCTGTAATCCAAGCACTTTGGGAGGCCAAAGCAGAAGAATTGTTTGAGGTCAGGAGTTCAAGACCAGCCTGGATAACACAGTGAGATCCCCATCTCTACAAAGAATAAAACAAAAAATTAGCTGGGTGTGATGGTACGAGCCTGTAGTCCCAGCTACTCGGGAGACTGAGGTGGAAGATAGCCAGGGAGGTCAAGGCTGCAGTGAGCTATGCTCGTGCCATTGCACTCTAGCCTGGGTGACAGAGTGAGACCCTGCCTCAAAAAACAAAAAATAACCACAGGAAACTGGCTGATGGGAAGAAGAAACGAGAGAGGGGCAGACGCTGGATCTGGCTGTTTCCCAAGGCCTTGGTTTGCCTCATCTCCCCCCTTCTATTCCCAGTTGACAAATTGTTCTTAGCTCCGCTCCTCCTCAGCCACTTCTCAGAAGCCCAAACAGGCCCCAATACCATAGTGTCTTCCCAAGGGCATCAGAGTGTAACAGATTTTCATAGAAATAACTCTCATCATTCAGGATCCTTCACAGAAGCTTCTCACGCCAGGGCTGGAGGATTCCTGAAGCTCATTCTCACATACTGCTAGCCAATTTAGGATTCTCATTATAGTAATAATAAAATATATGTCAGGAACACAATGATTATTTTAGGAGGCAAAGAAGCCAGTGCTCTTGGAAGAGAAAAGGTGGCCATGAGGAAATACGTTCCTTAGTTTAGCATTATAATCACAGGAAATACTGACTTTAAATACGTGTAACTAAACAGGTATATGCTGATCCAGTCCAGGCTTTCCAGAGGACTCAGAGGTCCAGGCTGCATCAGGGACAACATATAGGGAGTTGCTTTGGGTTCTATCCCTTACATAGGGTTAGCATTTATAGTTTTTCCCCCGTGAATCAAGAACGTGACTACAGTTAAGAATTTTCGCTAGTTGTGAGCGTAGCCACTAATGAAGCGGGTGAAAAGACTCAGGTCACTTCTATGAATGATCTGCTTTTCTGGCACTCAGAGTTCTAACAACTGTATATAATTAAACTGCATAGAAACTGTATTGTTTTGCAGGCAACAGTAGATTAGAAATGTTGGGTTAAAACACAGGAGTGCCAAGCTGACACACTGATTCCCGCAGGAAATCACAGCTGAAGGTCACAGATCCAGAATGGGTACTTGAAAAAAATCTTCAAAAAGCATTGTGGTTCGGGGCCATTTAATTTGGGGCAGATAAGTTTAATCACGCCAATGTCCATTAAGAACATCAGAGTGTATTAGTGGATCTTTATAAATGTGACCTTCAGGCATCAAGAATACTCACTTAATCAAGGCGAAGGAGTATGTAATAAATTCAGAAAAGTATTAACTAATAGCACAGGGGAATAAGCTTTACTTATCTTGAATTTTTATTTTTCTGGAACACCCCCCCTCCCCGCCATTTCCTAATTACGCTGTGAAAATAAATTTTGCTGCCTATTTTCCGGTGGGAGGACAGATTTGGAAATTGTTTTATTGGCCAGGGTTTTGTTGTCGTTTTCCTGGTAAGGACTTCCTAATTGAAATGCACAATTAAAGTTGAAAAAAACATCATTCCTTCACTTCTTGCAGAAGCAGAAAACAGAGGGAGTCTTAGCAAATAATTAAACATCTTAATTGTGGATCAGGCAATCTAATTTTAAGAGCTGGCTCTAGAAGGCTGTTCAGTGACAGTGCTACAACTTATCTTTAATTGCTGCAGCTAACGAGAATTCAACTCATTTCACACACATTATTGTACGGGGCTCTTTGGCATGCTAAATAGTTGCTCATTTCCTCAAAGCGTGATTTAAATTTACAGACAAATATTCAGGAGAAAATAAATTAATTTTGTTTGTAAATAGAGTGATTCCACATCTTGGAACTCACATTTACAGGACCAGCTCTCAGGAGGGTGGGAGAATCTAGTCTGGAACTTGGTGATGGGATGTTTACTGATACCAGGGGAGAGAAGGGAAGGTCAAAGGTCAAGTACCTGGGTCCTCAATGGAAAGGTTCTTCATAAGCCACTGCACAACGTCAGTACCTGCAACGACAAAGCAGTTTCAGCTGAAGACCTCCTGGGTGTTTAACACTGTGGCAGAAGAAACATGTTCACCTAAGAGAATCCTAATTCCAATCAGTCCACACTGTAGAGCAGGATAATATGGACACTTTTTTTTTGTCCTAACCAACCCTTTCCATTCTTCAGTACACTTCCATAGTTACAATTCCATTCTCGTCCAAAAAACACTCACTTCTGATGATGCAGGATGAGCTTATATTCACATTTCTAGGCAGTGTCTATAGAGGACTTCCCGAGACATGCTAGGTGAAGCTTTATCATGCCTGGCCCCCGGACCATTTCTTGAAGAAGGAGGCCTCTTCAGCTCCCTACCGTCAATTACAAGGGCTGACCAACACAGGTGACCTCATAGGTTCTTGCAAAACTCTCATCTCTTTTGGCACAGGCCTATCCTGAATGAATGTGCCCCTGCATTTGTGGCAGAAACGTCTATGTATTCACCAAGACCTCTTTCCTCTCCTCACTGTGCCATAGCTAGATTACATTTCCAGACTTCCCCGCACTTAGATATGGACTGAGTTCTACCCATAGAATGTGGGTAGAAACGGCATATGCCACTTCCAGACCTGGACCATAAAAACTCCTACGTGGCTCTCCATAGCTCTGGCCCTTTCAATCCCATCTGCTGGCTGGATGTGAAGACCTGGGGGAACGCAGAGTCACAGTAGGGAGGGAGTCATGGTTCCAGCCATGGACATTATGCCCATGTGGGGCTCTGACTTGATGAGGAATAAACTTTGTTGTGTTCAGCCCCTGAAATGTGGGACTTAGCTATTTTGGTAACTAGTATTACCTTAATGAATATAAATCTTAACAGTCTGAAGTAACTTTTAAAGCTTGTCTACTCTAACCCTAGCCAATACACAAGTCCCATTCACAACACCCTGGACAAGAGATGCTGTAACCTGTGTTTAGAATGCCTAGTACCTGGGAACTCACAAACTTCCCCCTACCCAGCCTGACCCAGTTAAATCAGCCTTGATTTATCTGAAAAGAAACTTGCCCCTCTCTGACTTCCTCCCTTTGGCCTCAGTTTTGCCCTTTGATGATAGAAACACAAACCCCAACCTAACCACTCTGTGCGACAGCCCTTCAGCTATTCGGACAGTCCTGCAGCATACCAGCGACGTCCTCCCTCCAAGTGCAACAGGCCCGGTCCCTCAGCTGCTTCCTTGCATGGCCTGGACTGGAGTTCCTCACCATATGTTCCCAATCCTCTGAATATGTTCTCTTCTGTCTGCCTCTCTTTGAAAATATGACCCACAAACGATGTTCTGAGAGCAGCACTGTGTACATGGGAGTAGAGGAGTCCAGTTTTCTGGAAGGTTCTGAATTTCTGGTCAACCTACCTTTGCCACCCAAAGATCTCACTTTAAACCAGTGCAGACCATTGAAGGTGTGACGTTGTCACCTCTGAATTGTTTGATGGAACACAGCCTGCAAGGGAAGACATTTCTAGACATCAGAGTCCTACCGTGGGTCCGAGGCTTTGGTGCGAGGGAGGGGATGTGCCAAGGACTCTCCTGGGCTGGATTCCTGGCTGAAGGCCTGGGGATCCAGCCGAGGGGCTTCATGAGGATTGCCCTCTTCCCAGAGAGCAGATTTCTTAGATATGTGACTGGTGGCCAGAAGTGGGACTGGTACGGGACAGGGAGCCTAGACATTTTGTTTCTCTCTGGGTCCACGGCAGGTGAAGTAACCCTGCACAGTGGGACCCCCAGGGCCATCCTGGTCCTCCTGTGTGCCCCAGTTCCACCGACACAGCCTTGCAATTTTGCAGTTTCCCTGCGTCAACCTCAAAGGCAGCACTTCTAGGCTTCTCTTCACTCTTACTGCTCCTGGACGGCATCTGTGAGTTAAACTTTAGATCAAAAACATTCCTATTCATTTGTATTTAGAGAGAGAGAATGAATAGGCGTGTGTACATGTGCCTGTGTGTCCCTTTCCTCCAAATTCTACAAGTTCAACATTTGTCCCAGGAAATGAAGAACAAAGCAGAAATCAAATAAGAACTGTAGCCCCAAGCTGGGAGTGGGAGAGAGATTCTAACCTGTTTTTTCCTCAAAAGAAAAATAGTTCTGGCTGGGTGCAGTGGCTCATGCCTGTAATCCCAGCACTTTGGGAGACCGAGGCAGGCAGATCACAGGGTCAGGAGTTCGAGACCATCCTGGCCAATATGGTGAAACCCCGTCTCTACTAAAATACAGAAAATTAGCCAGGCGTAGTGCCATGTGCCTGTAGTCCCAGCTTCTTGGGAGGCTCAGGCAGGGGAATTGCTTGTACAGGGGAGGAGGAGGTTGCAGTGAGACGAGATCATGCCTCTGCACTCCAGCCTGGCCACAGAGTGAGACTCCGTCTCAAAAAAGAAAAAAAAAAGTTCTTTTTAGTGGGTTGCCTAGAAACTGCGAGGTTTCCTGCATTAGCCGAGCTCTCCCCCAGGCCTGCGGATTATCTTTCTGCTGAGCTTGCCGAACCATTATTTATCACCTGCCAAGATTGATTACTCACCCTGGGACAATGACAGCCTTTCCTTTCCCCTGTTAATTACTGTCATCATTAATATCCATGTCACTAATTAGTATTCATTCACATTGAAACTCCTTCCTTGCTATCATATCCGCTCCCCCCACCACCCCAACCCCCGGCTCAGCACCATTGTCTGGGTTTCTACCCCCTTTTGGCTTCCTGTGCTCAGTCTTTGGCCTAATTGTTCTCCCCGGTCCACCAGGCCCTGGTTTGCATTGACAGAGCTAAAGGATCACATTTAAGCACTTTTGTTTCTAAAGAAGGGAAAATCACAAAAACCCATTTCCTTTTTCCCTAGCTCCGTGGAGACCACCGAGTGGAGTTTCTTTTCCCTGGTTCAGCCACCAGGACAGCTGCTATCTCATCTGGGGGCTGATGCAACAGTCCTCAGGCCCAGGCAAGGGCTGAGCGGCCGCCCCGGCTGCCTGGGACACTGCACTCCATCTGCAGTGGCATCCACTCTGCCACATGGCAGTGCTTGCTAGGCTTCATCTCAGCACAAGTGGCAACACCTAGAGACAGGGGACATGCTCACTCTCAAGGGCGTTGGATATTCCAGGCTTCCTTGGACCAACCCAGGAGCGGCCAAGCCTCCAGCCTGTGGCAGGGAGTAAACCATTGTGTGTTCACCCCCAGGAACAAGTCAGAAAGGGAAATCTGTCAGTAATCCCAGCACTTTGGGAGGCCGAGACGGGTGGATCACGAGGTCAGGAGATCGAGACCATCCTGGCTAACACGGTGAAACCCCGTCTCTACTAAAAAATACAAAAAACTAGCCGGGCGAGGTGGCTGGCGCCTGTAGTCCCAGCTACTTGGGAGGCTGAGGCAGGAGAATAGCGTAAACCCGGGAGGCGGAGCTTTGCAGTGAGCTGAGATCCGGCCACTGCACTCCAGTCTGGGCGACAGAGCGAGACTCCGTCTCAAAAAAAAAAAAAAAAAAACATTTAGTGATTACGCTGTAGCATCTGACAAGAGTACTCCAAACATCCAAATCCCCAGCAGGAGAAAGCATTTCCATTCTTCGTTTTTCACTTTCCTTTCTTGCCTCTTTCCTTCCTTCCCACTAACCCACAATCACCCTTTCCTTCCTGTTCTAAAGAGAATCTGAAGCAGATTCCTTTTCTGTTCTGTCTAAAATTAATTGTTGCCTTGTTACCATGATCGGTTTCTGGATCTTATCTTAGTCAAGCCGCTTTGCCAAGGACGTAAAGTCAATAAAACAACATAACAAATGCTATGTTGAAACAACATAACAAATGCAGGACGGCCACCCTTTATTCCTACAGATCCTAAAACACGGTCTGGAAGCTTTCTTTCTGAGGCTGATTTATCAATATATATTCCAGGGATATCCACGAAATACACCAGAGGGCACCCAAAACACCTCTCCATTGCATGCATATTTTATTCGTATATTTAAGGATGTATTTATGATATGCAGTTATGGGTTATGTTTCTATATGTGTTATATGTATTTCAATTATGTCTTCTATATTTAAAATCATGTTTATTAGATGACTGGGACCAAACCAAAAGGCCTCTAATAGGCGATTGAATAAATAAATTATGGCTCATTCATGCAATAAATATTTATTAAACAACTACAGTGGAAAAGCATCTTGAGAACAGGGTGTACTATAAAATATTTATGTTGTATTAATTATATATGTGTAGATATCTATAAATATGGAGAAGAAAAATTCTGGATATAGATTTAAATTGTTAACTTTAGGTTACTTTGGGGAGGGGGAGGCATCAAATAATGGGAAATTTCTATTCTTTACATGTCTGTATTATTTGTAGTTCATAGAACATTCATATAATACTTTTACACTAGAAAAATAATTTTATTTTAAAGAGCATAGAGAGAAGAAAGAGGTGGCCTCTGAGGCCAAAGTGGAGATGCTATGGGTAACTCTGGACGGCCTCCGGCTATCCTCAAGCCGTGGTCATTTCCTGCTCTCTGGGGAAAGGGTCAGGAGACTCAAAGCTGTCTTTTTCCTGAGGGGTTAACAGTGGAAGGCTCAATCCTGAGGCTCAATAGTGTGCCTCCAATTGGCCACTCTCTGGCCATCTGCCACTCCTGGAGCCTCAGAGTGACCTTTATAGCCTCTGACAGGGCTGTCCACCCAGAGTCTTGGCCTAAGGGTGACAACCTGCACCTCTCCTCTGTGTTTGTTAGCTTATTTACTCGGGGGACAGTAAGACATAGTGATCTTTTCCTGGTGCCTTTCCATGCTGAATTAACTCTGTTGAGTAAGCTGGTAAGGGGTTTCTGTTTCTGGTTTCAGGCAGACACTCAGAAAATTCAAGGCTTTGTCTTCAGGTGTTTTAAGCTCCTCAAAAACTGTAGCATTTGACAGAGATACTTTCCTCCCATTAATGCATCAGAACCCGGGGAGATCCTAGTATGAAACACTCCTCCAATTCTTCCC